TTTTGAAACCCTAAAAAAGACCAGATATCTTTAGGATTCCTAACATGCCTAATCGCTAGCTGGCTTATGAATGATCACACCTATCCTTAATTACCTAATTACAATTAGAGGAAATTGATCTAAGAGGTAAAGTTGGTAACAATTTCACTGGATGTTATTCTTCATCAACATTATTATGGATAGGTCATAGACATTAGATGGCTGACTCATCAGGTCTTGACTGATAAGTGCTGAATATTCATTAGTTTTATAACTTTCCGGACATTTCCTTTCCCTTATACAAGGAAACCCAATAGACAAGGGAGAACAAACCAGTGGATAAGTTTCTTTGTACTGACTGACTGATTATTAAAATGTAAACACAAACATGGTATCATATACAATTTTTAGGTTATCAAAATATCATTAATTAACCCCTGAAGACCAAGGGAGTTAGCACAGAGGCTAGATCTTGTCAAGGACACAAAAAATTGGTTGGATATTGAGGAGGTCTGCTTTTGGTTCTCCTTGGTTGTCTCAGTCTTATTTTCAGGTCCCTAATGGTGTTTGGCAGTAATGCTCTACTCTCACTCTCCACAGCCCCCCACTCCCACCTTTCCCATATAGCCTCCTTGTCTCCCTCAGTTTTCTATGCCTTTCAGTAACTATTCCAAATTTTGTCACACTGCTGCTCCACTACCCTTTGGGATATTAATACAAAAGATATATATTCCAGTGTTTAAAATTGGTCTCTGAATTCTGAAGACCAAGTTTATCCTTTCTGAAATATGATGATCTGAGCAAAGGGGACAAGGATTAGCTAAGGAATTGTGGTCTTAAGTAGTTAAATAAGATTTACCAAGCTTGATTTCTAATACTTTTTCCACTTCCAAGCAGACATCAAAATAGATTATTTTCTTTTCACTCTAGTAAATTAGGAAGTATAAATGTAGATATAAATTCTTAAGAATTTTGATCCAAAAGTAGAAGACAAAATTAGGTCCTCATTTTTCAAGTAATTATCAGTTTAGTATTCTTTAATCATTTACATATTTTATATAGATAACAAAAAAGTAATTTTCTTTCTCACAGGTATGCCCAAGAAGTGGGAGCTTTCCATTTCCAGACATCAGCCAAACAAAATAAAGGAGTTGAAGAGCTATTTTTGGAACTCACTCGCAAAATGTTGACAAGTGCAATGGCAAATGACCAACAGCGAGTGAACACACTCACAAGAGGTGGAAATTCAAGAAATCTTCAAATTGTTGATGATCAGGCAGCACCTCCTGCACAGAAGTCATCCTGTTGTGGTTCATAATGTTGAAGACACACATTAGTCAGCACATATATGTTCTCGATATGTGTATTTAGTGTAGAATATTCATAAGTCAAACCTGGGAATTTTATAGAAATTTTATGATCAGCAATTAGTCACCATAAGGTAATGCCATCCATATCCCATAAAAGAAGTAAGAGGGTGAGAAAGGGAAAGAGATAATAACCAAAGACTGTGAAGTTTGAGAAAATTGTAATGTAACCCTTTAAATGTAGATACTCCATTAATTTATGTGAAGTCATTGATCTTGATGTAAAATTGAATTTATCCACTGTTGATCCAGGATGCATGTCAGTAAATAGGATATTATTTTTAATGTATTATGCATTATTACCTTATAAATACTTTGTTGAATTTCATGGTAGCTAGTAATCTGCATGGAAGACTATGGTGTATTCAAAGTTTGCTTGTATGCCCTTGGACTGAGATGGTAGTTACTCAAGTTACTCATGAGACACTCCAATGTATGATGATTTATTTTTATTTTTCCAAGATACTTTTCTGAAAGGGTGAGTAAATTGGGCAGTCAGATCAAGAAGTTTCCTATATATGCATGACACACCTTTTGGATAATTTCATTGCTATGGCTGTTAGCTGCTGTTGATGCCATATTTGTTGGGAGATAGCAAAATAAGAATGCATAATGTTGAAATACTTGGGCCATTCAAAGAAATTGTTGATCGAAACCAGTTGTCTTCGTCACCAAATATAAATGACTTAGACTTCACTTCCTTCATTTGACTGTGGATCTGAGCATTTAACATGGCCACTAAAAGATTTTGCATTGTTATCCACTCTGGGTGTGAAGTTTAAGTGCACTAAAAAAGAATTATACTATAGATACTATAAATAGTTCAGAAATTTCGTTATGTAATGCAATATCTTCAAAAACTGAATTATAATTTAAAGTATTACGATTAATAATTATGCATATTCATTAGGCTTTCTGTTTTTTCCTGTTAGCATACTCAAGCAATTGCTAGTGTGAAAATACCTTTTTATTTTTGTGCCTATATTTTTTTTTCTTTTCTTTTTTTTTGTTTTTTGTTTTTTTCTTTGACAAATACGAAATGTAGCTCCACATTAGTTTGTAGTTAGTGATTCTGAATCATGATATTCCATGGGAAAGAAATGTTTTAAAGAGTATTATTGTTCACTTCAAAACTTTTTGAACATATTCTTACTTTTCACACACAAAACAATCATTTAAACATTAATCAGTAATCATTTCCTTCCACGATTTCTATTGCTTCTCCCCCTCCCTCCCTGTAGGGAAACTATGAATATCAGCAAGTGATATTGATGGATGGAGTACATTAAAGCTAGGTTAAGCATATCAAAGTTAATTTTCAGAGGCAAATGTTTAACTGAGAGTTAAATTCTGTATAATACAGTGCAAATTCTTTTTATGAATTTTATGAATGTTAATGTTTTAAACAGTGCAAATCCTTCAATAAATGTGAATAATGTTTTCAGATGATGTATTATCTGGTCAACTACTCAAGGATCATCAGGCCAGTCAAATAGTTGCTAAAAACATATAAGATGATTTATATAGGCTTTCAGAAGATTTGTAAATGGTTACAAAATATATATATATAATTGGTAGAGTCACAGTGTTTCACTTTTTTCTTTTAAGTGAAGATATTTGGTAATGAGTGATAATGTTTGTAAGTTTGTATTTTGATTTGGATGACAACTATTCCTAAATATGGCAGTGATATAATACACGTTTTCTACATTCTCAGAAGTAATAGAACAGTTGTCCCAAAGTAAATAATTATATAGATTGAACATTACTACTTGTTATTCGTATCTATAATTTGTTATTTTTTGAGAGATTATAGAATAATTTATAAATGTATATAACAAACTATTTACTTGTTCTAGAGAAACTGTTGAAATCCATCTGTGGTGTGTATTTTGAACTGATGCTACAGTTGGTATCATAAGATAAATACATGTTTTCTTCCAATAGCATGAAATGCATCAATGCTGCATCTGTACAGTCAGATGTTGTTAAATTTTAGAGGAGTGGTAGATTTATAGAATTTATTGAGGGGCTGTTTGCAGTTTTGTACAAAAGTGATGCTTTAGAAACAAATGGGTTAATTACCAGTCATACTTTCATCTTTTGGAGTAAGACAATGATTTCCTAACTATTAGTAGTAAGTTGTGTACACTAGGAAGTCTTCTGATTAAGATCAGAAAAAAATAACCTGATTAAAGAAAATTATCTGTGATATTGTTTATATGAGCATTACATATGCCTTTGCATAACCTATAGCTTTGTACTTCCATGTTTTGCTGTATTACATGGCTGCTATGTACTAATTTTTTGTATATCTTGTTTCTGGTAGAGTATTATCTATAAATATGATGTGTGCAACTATCAGAAATATTTAATTTTTCTTTTCCCTTTGTTATGTATGGCATGTTGTATTGCTACTTTAGCTAACAAAATTTCTTGATTCTTCCACATGTTCCTTAATGAGAAAGCATTATCTTTCCTATGTTAATTGTCCTTTTATCACAAACCATTTTGTATGAAAAATATATAATGCAAATATTTAATTAGACTTTCATCCTCTCTGGTCTCTAGTTAATTTGATGTCATAGTTTCCCATTTACATGTATTACAGAATATGCTGTTGACCTTAGTATTCACACACCCTCTGCCACATGAAAGTAATGCCTCCAGAATGAGTAAATGGCTATTGACACTGGATAAATTTATGTCAGTGAATAACTGTACTTGCCTATTAAAATAAATACATTTATAAAATGATACCATTTACAATTAGATTTTCTGGCACACCATCCCATGAGCTCAAAAGTAAGTATATATGTGAATAAAAAAAATCTTTCACTGTAAGACTTGTCCTATTCCCACCACCCTGTATCAGTAACTAATGGCTGTATCCACTTCATTATGACAGACAGCATATTAGGACACAGAGGAGCAATAGGTTGCATACTTCATTCAGAAAGAGAATATCGTCTTATATTGAGATTGTAGTTGTCAGGATAATGGTCCGACAGATTATTATGTAATTGCAAAAATCACTTATATTTTTAAGCTACAGTATGTGTAGGTATATAAGGTCAAGTAGCATGTGTATGCTTTTCAATTTACATTAAAAATTAAATGATGATTTTGCCTCTAGTTGACACCAGATTTTAACATTGAAATTTGAATATATTTTTGAAAGATTGGTAATATAATTTAGTAGCTTCATAAACCACGATATAATTTTGTTAGTGGATTACCACAGCAGTTGCTTTTGGGTGAATTATCAAAAATATATTGTTTAATGACATTGTATTCATTTGGTTGTTTTAGAGAAATCTTTATTTAAAAATGAGGAAGTCAGCACATTTCCATTCTTCAGCAGTTCCCAAGAAATTTACACAAACAAAACAACATAAAGGCACACCAAAATATGTCATACAGTGTAACATCAGAACACTTGACATTAGTTGCAGTAGTTTTACCTGCTCTACCACCACACGTAGTTTGCGTGCTTGGCAAGGTGTTACTTTTATATGGTCCTAAATGGTAAATTTGCTTGTAAAAAAATAAACAATGTAGAGAAAGATGAAGTGAATCATAGCATTATTTACTTTTTTACCTGATTATTGCAAAAGATGGTTCAGACTCATATATCGAAATGCCCATGCACATACGTTTCATGTTGAACTTTTGTGTTTTATCATGTTTCGTTAACAACAAGGATGGCCAGATTTCTAAAGGCATATCCAGATAAGCAGACCTGATTGACAGACATACCTGAGAAATTACAAGATTTCAAATTACTAGCTAAGCAACCAACTAGCAAGTGGAATCAGTTGTTTAGACAGCAGTTTAACTGCCTCTGACATCACCTCAGGTATCCCTGCCTGCTCACCAGAACATGCAGGGGTTAATTAAATTACAGAGACCTTAAACTGAAATGATTCAGAAAATAAATTTTGACAATCATATTTAAACTCAAACATATGAAAATTAATGTCAGGATAATACACACTGACACCCTCCTCATCAACCTTAAAAACATACACACAAACCATGCATACATGTACACAAACACACTAGTTTGAGCATGTGTTTAATGCACTGTTCGCATGATCAGGCAAAGATTATTACCAAGTCATGTTCTAGGGCATGGGCAGAGATGGTGTCAAAAGTAGGGATACCATAACCATGGACAACAGAAGTGTACCCTCACACTTTTCCCAGTAGTGGCCAGAGCCCACCACATTGTCAAGTAATATTGTTAAAGAAACAGGATATGTTCAGAGACCACTACCTGATAAATAAGCCAGTCAATGCATGGATATGTTTATACTAATAACCAACAGGCTCACATAAATATTTAAATTTGCTGAGCTGTTTGTTATACACTTTAAAGCCCACTGTCAGTTTACTTTATTAATTTACTGCCTGTCTTGCCAGTTTACCCTTTTCCTTGTTTCAAAAATATTTTATGCTATCTTCTATTGCTGTTACTAATGTCTACAACATTAAAGTAATTATAATGTTTATAATATAAATAACACCATCAATATTCATAGCATTAGTAAAGAAAATAGTTTTTCCTGCCAATTCAAGCAGAGGTGAAGTAAGTTCACTTCTACTAATTGACTTTTGTGGCTAAGCACTATCAGAGCCATCTATATGCAAAGATGTTTCACAAAAAATAAATAAAAAATGAGCACAGCATTTTCACTGGCAGTAATGGATTATATGTTTCTAAAATCTGTTATTGGGGCAATTATGTTTTTAATGACATCTTGGTAAAGGAAAAATGTACTACAAGTTAAGATCTGGGTCTAAGTAATGCATTGTTAAAACTATTAAAGAGAAGTGAAGAATTATAAATATTTGGATAATTATTCAGAACTGTCGAAACAATACATGAAAAAGACGAGATGTATTTCCTTGTGTAATTTATGATTATAGATTTGGTTTGCTACTCAGACCTCTATTAACCCACTGGATCTGCAGGCTTCACTCCCATCACATGGCCCAAAACATAGGGATTAGGCTTACTTTATCAGCCACTCAGATGAGTGCAGGATCAGGCACATGTGAACACTCATATACAGTGACAAACTCTATGCCTCCCCTTTGCAATATCATTTTCACTTTTTCTGCATATAAATTTTAGCTTTTTTGACATTTTTCAATGTCCATATTTGTCACTTGATTTGCTTTATACAGATGGTAATTGACTGCCTTCCTTGAACAGACTCCATATCATTTCTCTTGGTAGTCATTGCAATAATAACAATATAAGATTGTTATTTGTCAACTTTACATTTTAGCTTATTCAATTTTCTGTAATACAACCTGAGCCACCATTCATAGCAGCCAGGATTAGGATGCTGAACATAGAAATGGCATCCTCCCAGGAGCCTGTGCACTTCGTCATGGCTCATGACAGTACTTTCCACCGATTTATCTAAGAAAATATTGCAAAACCCATTCCATATGCCAAATGAGTCTAATCACTTGAAGCAAGTCTTTCCTGTTACCCTGGCCTTCAGCCGAAAAGCTCACGACAACAAACTTGTGTCGCCCTGCCCACAGCTAAATTTTCCCATGACGGCTTGCTCACATCATCTTCCCCTCATGCCAAATGTTTTCATGATATGATGGTCAAGTCATCCAGATAGTAGGGGTTAATGAAAAGAGTGATAGTAATCAAAGAAAAATACTTTGGAGTATAGAAGTAGTCTCAACTGGCCTGATGATTTGAGGAGCATATGCATATATTTTGAAAGAAAGTAATTTGTACAATGAGCAGATGTAATGGTATATTATTATGATACTTTTGTCAACATGTTCTATGTTAAATGCAGATTGTTGATAAATATGTTCCCTTCTGCATTCAGTGGTCACCTGAGGTTTGTTATAATATTAACCATAGGGGGAAAAAAATCCATTTTGTTAAATGTATACATTCTTAGCATTCAAAAATTATACCAAAATTTTGAATTTATGAATTACATATCACTAAGAGAAACTGTATAAAATCCATAACGAGGTTCATATTTGCCAAAGCTGCAACTGTACTTTTAAGTGACTGTCAGCTATGACATTTGCATGGGGCTTCCTTAGTAGAGGCAAAAAATCTTTAAAATTGTAACACCTTTGTAGCTCAATATAATAGATATATATT